ATAATTGTTTGCATCTAGCAAAATTGGTTCGACACTGGGTGCTTTCAGTGTCTGTCTCGGTTTATTTAACCATGTTAAACCCCTTTTATTTGGTACTTTGAAGAAATCTTGTTTTGTACTTGTGCATTATGGATTTCTGCTAGCCATATGAATATTATTGCTGGCATAAAGGCAAGGTGCCCATGTAAAAAAAATAATCCAGTTGCGCTGCCGCTCCTGACAGGTGCGACTAGATAAATGAGGTCCTGCTGATGCTGCCGAACTATGCGCTTTCAGAGGAAGCCAGGAGGTGTTCGACTCTCTAATGTGGAGAAAGTGTACAGAGAACAGTTTTACAATAATATTAAAAATATTTGACTTGGCGGGGAGGAAGAGCATCTTCATGGTGCGTGTTTCATGGCCACTAAGTTTGAACGGTTTTAGACAGCCCCACAGAGGATGAGTCTCACCGGCTGCTGGTCGTGATGGACGCGCATGGCCCCACAGGTCAGGAAAAGCCGGCGATTGCTAAGCAAGCCTCTTGCTTCTGTGCATCTCGGAGCCTTCTCAACAGCCACCAAAGGAACGGAACGGACTCGTTGGCCTCACTGGGCTTTCTCACATTAAATTATCCTACAAAGTCATTTCAGGACCAAGAATGGAGATGGCAAACAAAAGAACAGCAGCAACAATGACTCTTTGTGTCAGGCTAGGTCACTTTTATTAGTTCGCTGATTGGAGGGAGGGGGGACTGCTGCTGTACTTTTCTGGCTACCTCTTCTACGAGCACATACCATGCAGGCAGGATATCCAGTGACTGCAAAAACAGGCTGGTTATTTTGCCTGCACCCCCGCCCCCCCCGCAAAAAGGACCAACTGACCATAAGCAGCTTGCGATGTTTTTTGGAAGCCGCTTCCAAAATCAGAATGGTCAGTAAAAATGATAAATGGGTGGCAAGACTATTCTTCAGTTACTTTTTAAACATAGTCTCTTTTACATTTTAACATACTCGAGAATAAGATCATCTCCAGAGAGTTGTCTTTTTAAAACTGATTTCTGCAAGAAGCGGGGAGGGGAGAAATTCCTCTTTAGTAATGCAAATAAAACAAAGGCTTCAGTTGCTAAAATTATAATTGTAAATTTTCCACATATAAATATATATATATATATATATATATATATATATATATAAACTCTCCTCTCTGTTAGGCACCTTAAAGGTTTTATTTTTTGGCTGGTGGCGTCTGCGGCTTTGAGAAATGTTATGACTACTGCAGCGCAGCTCTATACTATTTTACTGGTGACTATAAAATCAGACCCAAGTTTACTACTTTCCTGATGTTGGTTTTTTAAAGTAAAAGGTAACATTTTAAAGCTGCAGTGGAGGGTGAAGTGCTTATTAAAGGCAATATTATACCAATTTCAAACCTTTTAAGACAAACTTTTAAGGCCACCTGTAAAATAAATGTTATTTTTTCAACTCCTTGCTTTTTGCTGCCTTTATTTTATACCTCTAGATATACTCCTAAATATAAATCTTAATACAAAGTATATTTTAATTCCTTCCCCCCACCCACCCTTTAAAAGGCATTTGTGTCTGTACTGAAAGTCAGTTCACTTCTCCGATTGTCTCGACTGGATTGTAGCATCAGTGCGTGCGTGAAACCGCCTGAGTTGTTGGATGCTCGGATTCCCAGACGGGCAGCCGTGTCTGTCACAGCAAAGAAGATCCAAAGGGCGCTGCAGCATCTCCAAGACGCAAGGCATCTCGGCGGCAGCCTCCTCGCGACATATGTTGCGACATCGCGCGGCCCGGGAGCAGTGACGCGGGTGCTGGAACACCAGGCCTTACTCCGTGCTCAGGCGCTCGTCCCAAGGCCGCTTGCCCTCGACTCAGGCTGCCGTGATGCTGAGCCAGGCTCTGGGTCTGTCGCTCACCTGAAGCCCGTGGTGCCCCTCCTGGGTTCTCCCCGGCCCGCAGAAGTCGGGGCCCTCTCCCTGCCCCACAGGTGCCGTGCCACTGGTCTATGGCCCACCGCTGTGGGGGGGGGGGGCATGCTGGAAGGCACCCGGTCAGGGGTTCCACCAAACCCTCTACATGTCATAGAAGTGTTCTAATAGAAATAGAACATTTGCATAGAAATGTTCTAATGAATAAATAAATAAATGTCCCACTCAGCCACCGCTTCCCTCCCCATTCTGGCCGCTGTTGCCTCCTGTATCGTGTGAGCGTGTTTTTGCACCCCCCGTCCTTCCCAAGAGCAAACTGGAGCACGGAGAGGAGTATCACGCACTCCCAATTTGAATGCCTCCCCCCCCCCGCGCAAATGTACCACCGAGGCTGCCATGGCGGCGCATGTAACGTACACCGCCCGTCAGCTGTTTCCTCCTCTGCCGCTGACAAGGGACCCATTCATAATGCGTCCTTTTATCCTTTTGGTGAATAAGTAATTATTCAATATAGAGAAGGCAGGATATTTGGAACTGGCCATTTAATGTGGCAGCACACCGTAATGAAACCTGCTGTTACTGGCAACCTGAGCTAGGAATGTAACAATTCTAGCACAGCCGGTAAGTTTATCTGCTTTGACGGCCTGTTTATTTGGCACGTCAGCGGCCTTTTATCCCACTGAGTGACAGCTCCTGAAGGGTTGCATTTACTCCCATTCTATCGTGTATTGTAATATTTAATGGTGGACAAGCTTGAGTGGGAGCAGGGGAAATTTGAGCCTGCTTTTCCACGGAGTGAAGGCCAAGAGACAGTTGATCCCCTGGCATTGTGGCATAACGCACACAGTGACTCCGCATTTGCTCATGGAGGATAATCTTACCGATTACAATTAAGGGGAAGGCGAAAAAAGAGATTGTGAAGCTGGCGACAGCACGGTGTTTGGGCCCCATTGTCAGTTGTGCAGCAAATAAGATCCTGCCCTTGTTTTAAAAATGATGTTGGTAATGCGGGTTGTTGTGAGGATGAGGAGAGGCGGACCATCTGAGCTGTCTTGCGCAAGAAGAGAGAGGTGGGATATAAACAGAGTGTAATTTATGGTGATAGCATTTTGCGAAATCCAGCTGCTTCTCAGGTGCCATTAGAAGTAGATAGCCGTGCTTCTCCATCCTCTTCTCCAGTCCAGGGAGTTGTTCTTACAGTGTTTCATTGTGATCATGTTCCATTTGAAGGACCCTTCCTCCTCCTCATTAAAGTGTGCAATTCTGGAGAGTTACTTAGTGACAGAGTAATTAGAGGCGGAGCTATCCTGTTACCAACCTCATCATGGTTATCCAGCATGATTTGTGTCCTAATTAAATAAAAGTGGGTACTGCAACAAAACTTTGCAGCATATTATCAGACACGATCAGGACTGGTTCTGTTCAGGGTTAAAGCCAGTTCTGGCCATGCCCACCATTGCGTTTGCACTCCGGTCACGTGGCTTTCTGGAAAATTTCCATATGCAAGTCCGCCTGCTTTGCATAGGTGATTGGCATCAGAAGGTTTTTTGGATGCAGAATGTTCATAGTGTGGTTTAATTTAGTTTGATTCACTCACATTTAGTAAAGAGCACGCTAAATTTATCCCTCGTTAATTTTTCACCTGAATACATGACCGGTGTGTATGACCTGAAATATTTGAGGTAGTTGGTGTTTACTAGTCAACTCTGGATACAAGAGAATGGATTTTATTTCCACAGTAAAGTTTACTTTAACAGACGTTAAATATTTGTAAAATACATGTAAAAACTTAGAAGCATCAGCACACGCTACCTTTACATTGTTTATTTTTTTTTTTTAAAGAATGAGCTTGTTTATATTTTGAAAAACCGAAGGCCCTTCCTTTGTTGCACAGTCCGTAATTTCGACAACTGAATTTCAGCAATGTGATCTCGCTGGCAGCAACTCATACTCACTCCCATTAAAGTCATTGTAGCATTTTTACTCTAAATCGATCTGCAAAGAAAACAGCAAACCTGCAGTGAAAATGTGCTCGACCTTCTACTTTTATTTTTGTATATAATTCATAAAACTACTTAATCAGGCCCACAATAGAAAATTAAAATACTCGAGAGCTCTGCTTAAATTTAAGCAGTTCTGTTAATATTGTCTGCGTGTGTGATTAATACACTGAACTGCTTTCTATTTCTGAGGGCAAGTTTGTCTATATTTTCTCACCAATGCTTCTACGCCTCTTCTTACCCGAACAAACTTGGAAGTAGTTTGGTAAGAAGGGAGACGTGGGCGCTCTCACAGGTAAGCAGGCACAGGATGACTGGCTTGGAGGGGTTCGGGCTCTCGCCGCAACCGGATCCTGACCCCAGCCTTACTTCATCCCCAGGCCAGTGTGAACAGTTCTCTGACTTTTTGTGTTAACTGCTCAGATGAAAGTCCTTCTGTTTGTTTATTTGCAGATGTACACCCCATATTGCAGCAAGGACTCCCAAAATTTGCGGCCTTTGTTACACTCCTCTTCCTTAGATTAATTTTATTAATGCAAAAAAATGTGGCAGTTTAAGGCAGTCTTACGTGAGCACTCCAGTCGGGAAACGCACCCGCTAGCTTGCGACTCAGTTCTAAGCCGCACGCAATGAACTCTTTGTTGCATTCTGGCCAGCACAGCATTTTCGTTGTTTTTGCGTCTGTGTTGCCGAGGCTTCCATTTGTGTGCGCCCTTTCATTTGGAAAATGCTTACAAAAATACAGTTTGATTCTCAACATGAAGCAAAAGTGCCTTACAATGCACCAGTTATCATAAAGAACTTTTTCACGTGTAGGTTTGTGTCTGAAACTGTCATGTAGTCAATGTTTACTAGTCAACTCTGGATAAAAGAGAATGAATTTTTTTTCCACAGTAATGTTGGTACTCTAAAAGGAAGTAATTACAGTAATAGGAAGCTATTCGTAGCCATCTTAATGCTTTATTTCGGAGAATAATTGCTGATTGCCGTGTCTGATTATTCTGTTTAATAGAATGCTTAATTGAGATTTTAATTTATATTTAATAAGTTTTCCCTTCCTTTAATTACAGGCTTCCAGCCCCTGTACCCAGTGTACCTGTTCTACTGAGGAAAAGGCCAAAGATGTTTCTGATGCAAAGAAGAGAGAAAACGGAGGAAGGCCATTTATCCCCAAAATATTTTTTGGAACTCGAACACACAAGCAAATAGCTCAGATCACCAGAGAGATGCGGAGAACAGCGTATTCGGGCGTCCGGATGACCATTCTGTCTAGCAGGGAATACACTTGTGTCCATCCAAAAGTATCTAGCTGCAGCAACAAGAATGAGAAATGCGTGGAGCTTCTGGAAGCAAAAGATGTAAGCTCTTTCTTTTAAAAAAGGGAAAGAAACGTGGCTTTATTTTCGTCCTATTAGTATGCTATAGGGCGTGCGGTTTAAAACATGAGAAATACCCAAGTTTGATGATATTTTACTGCCATATCCAGGACTATTTTTTTTTAACCTGGTAACATCTCTCCCTTAATAAAAACCACAGCCCTCCCACCCTGTAGTATTAAGAATAGCATTCAAATTATTTACAGCCCGGTTAAGCCGAGGTATTTGCAAGTAAGGGGGCCTGTTTTCCTGGGGAAATGCGCAATCATCATTCAGAGGTTTTCTGCAGCTACTCGCAGGAAGGCCCTGTCCACTGCCTGGGGTTATTCATATATTTATTTATGTGGGGCTTTGTTTCCCCACAGAGAAGCTCTCAGCCCCGAAGGGTCTAACGGTGGCGGCAGCTGCTGCTGCTGCTGCTCCAGACCACTGCTCATATCCAGTGCGAAACAGCGTTCCCCAAGCAGGTGCTCTCCAGCTGTGCCAGACCAGAATTCCCGTCCTTCAAAGCACGGTTTACATTTAATGCCTCAGATTAAACAGTGCTTGCATCACCTGTAAGTGTGAGACTGTATTTTATTCTGTTGTATTTACACCACACAGTGCTGCTTTTAACTTTCCTCTCACAACAATACCGCTTGACAAACTCGAGGTTGGCTGGTGAACTTCATGGCTGAATGGGGATTCAAACCCTGGGTTGTGTTTTTTTTTGGCCGTGGACCAACGTTCTGTCCACTCTGCCACGTGGAGACAGGCGCCAAAGCCGACCGGCAGCGTTTATAAGCCTTTAATGCTCTCTGCAAAATGAGTGGCCTTTGCCTTGGTGAACCTTCTCTTTCTTTTCTTCTTGTTTTCACGTGACTTTGGTACTTGACAAGTCTACGCAAGGTGTTAAGTCTTTGTGCCCTCCCTTGTCCCCGAGGCCTCGAGGGAGAGGTATAATGGTAATGAAGGCCAATTAGCAGTCTCACTCGAGGTGCCCTTGTTCTACACCAAGACCATATTGCTAAAGTCGATAAACTGACAGTTTGCGAACTAAGAGGCTCGAAGTGCGATAACACTTCAGCTGCCAGCCTCCCTTAGGGTTGTGTTACAGGATGAGTGTTTCTTGTTATCATCCTTCATTCGTGTAAGAAGCCTTAGAGAGTTTCCAAAGGCTACAGTTTCAGGAACTTGCTCAGCTTTTTCTGCCTCTGTATAACTTTAAATACTTGGCTGTTACTTTAACATTTGCTGTTATGAAAAGTACCAGATTGTTTTAATATTTTTTAGCAAATACAGTTTTAATCTGGCAGAACAGATGAGAGATGGGGACAGCTTGCTAAATTATGCTGTGGGAATTCCTTAATGAGAATTGTCTTTCTCCAGAATTCATTCCGGTCCTCAAGTTGAGATGTTAATTTATAAAATTATAGGTTCTCAGGTTTGTGCTAGAGTGGGAGATTGGAAGCATCTAATTGTCAACAAATCACAATTCTCTCTTACATCCAAACTTGCCCATAGCTGTAGGTAGGAAACAAGCCGGCCCCTAAAAACATCATTTGAAATCTTGGCTGGTTCTTAATAGCTAGAATTGCAACACACACAGCTCCCCAATTTTGGGTATAACAAAACTGTGGCTCATCCAAAGACATGTGGAAGAGCGGCAAGTGTTTCTGATCTTCCAGCAGCAAGTGAATATGGAAGCGCGGGGAAGCTGGAAACCACGATTCCCTGTTGCAGCTGAATTGTGCCAAGAGGATACAGGTTCAGGCTGTCCAGAAATGTACCTCTGTGAAGCGGTAGATAGGGAGAGGTGCAGCGTGAGCCACAGTGGTGTGTATTTGAATCTTGCTTTTCCTCCTCATTTACTTCTAGGGCAAAAGTTGTTCCTTCTACCACGGCGTGCAGAAGCTTAGTGAATACCACTCTGTACTGTGCGTGCAAAAGAAGTCCCAGGCGTGGGACATAGAAGATTTAGTAGGCCTGGGGAAGAGGCTGCGTGCGTGCCCCTATTTTGCAGCTCGGGAATTGATGGCCGAGGCCGAGATCGTCTTTTGTCCCTACAACTATCTTTTGGATTCACAAATACGGGAGAGTGTAAGTACATTTGTAAGCGGGCACTTTTCCACGCAAATTATTCAATTTGTGACCTTTTTGTGCTACCTTTTTTCAAGGTATGTGCATGTGTTCCTTCTCCTTGCAACCCTGTGTGGGTAGCCTAAGCTGAGAGACAGGAACGGTCTTGAAGGCTTCGTGGCTGAGTGGGGAGGGGAACCTCGTCCAGGTTTGGGATAAGCTTGCTCTTGCAAATAAAGCAAGACAAAAAAATGGGAATTTCGTTACCTAGCCAGGAAAGTTCTGTATCATCACAAAGAGAAGGAATTCCCTGTGTGCCCTCCCACTCCTTGAGATCGGAGCCAGAGGCCCCCCTCCGGGAGCCGTGCTTGGAGGAGATCAAGAGGAGGGCCTTCTCTGCGGTGGCACCTCAATTGTGGAACACCCTCCCCAGAGAGGTCCACCTGGCACCAACGCTTCTTCCAGCGTCAGGCAAACCCCTTTTTATTCTCCCAATATTTTAATTGCTCACTCGTTTTAGTTAGTGGGTTTCTATTTAAACATTGGATACTGGGCAACTGTTATTCTTATTTCTATTTTTAGGATTAATTTGTTGTAACCCGCTCCGAGACTTCTACAGATGGGACAGCATAGAACAGTTTTAAATAAATAATGCGGTTACCCAAATGATTTGATTTCCCCTTTTTGCTAATGCAGTTAACAATCATGCTTGTTGATTTTTGACAGATGGAGATTAATTTGAAAAATCAGGTGGTCGTTTTAGACGAAGCTCACAATATCGAGGATAGCGCCCGGGAATCGTCCAGTTACACTGTGACAGAAGCTCAGCTCAGCTCGGCCCGGGAAGAGCTGGACACGATGGTGAACAACAACATCAGGAGGGAAAACCACGGGCCTTTGCGTGCCGTGTGCTGCAGCTTGATTAAGTAAGAATGAGCTAGTTCCTGAACATGACACGAGCGTAAAACTAACGATGGCCATGGGCCCATAAGTAGCATCCGCACACTTTGTTTGTTTGAGACATTTATATCCCATCCTCTCGCCAAGCGCTCAGGACGGCTTACAAAACATAAAAGTACAATATAAAACCTCAGTTATTAAAACAATATAGAACACACCACAGACTTAAGCAAAAGGAGGAATAAATAGAAAGTGCGACTGTGAAAGGAAAAAAATCCTAAAACATCTAAAACCACTGGTTATTAAAATAACAGTGGAATAAAAAGGTCTTTACCTGGTGCTAGAAAGAGTGTAACTTAGAAGTCCTGATAAAATCCCTAAGTGATTTGCTTCTTGCTGTCGCCATAGGAAGAGGATGCTTAAGGATTTAGGAACACGGGAATGATGCAAGAGACCCAGTTAGCTCGTTTAGCTCAGGATAGCCAGACCTACCTATGCAGGAAACCGCCTTAGTCCAAATGGCCTCGATCCGGAAAAGGCACGTCAGTACCGTCTGCATGGTGAATTCACGGCTGGCACAAATGTGTTTGGATTGGTGTGGCTCCAGCAAGACGATTCAGCAGCAGCTCCTGTCTTGAGGACTGCTTTTTACTGAACCGACGTGGAAGGAAATTCTTGTGAATCGCTTTAAAAAATCCAGTTCTAATCAACGAGCAAGCAGTGGGGCAAAAGACGCCCGGCAATCTGAGACACGTAGGCAGGAGAGATTTAGCAAAACCCACGCGTCCCAGTGGCACCAGGGCAGGCTTCAGGCAGAGCTTCCCACCAGTTTCAGCCAATGATGTCAGGGATCGAACATGGTACCTCTGGCCTGCAGAGCAGGTGCTTTCTTCCTGGGCTACAGCGCCTCCTCTCCTCTCTTTTATAGATGAATTAGTTGTGGAAAAGGGAAAAATACCCAACCATGGCTTCAAAACGGAGGCACACGAGCAGCCACACTGGTGCTGAATACTTCCACTTCAAAATGCAGGTGGAGGATTGAAGAGTTGTCCCCATTCTTTTAAGACAAGCACCTTTTCGTGCCTGGCCAGTTGGCCCCCAAGGAGAAACCGAGTCCATGGCTCTTTTTGCCAACTTGCTCATTTTCAGTTTGTGTTTTAATAAGAGGAGGTCATTAACAAATTGAATGTCCCCTCCCCACCACCCCAAGTTGTACACAAGTTAGACAGTCCTCCAGAAGAATAGACCGGGCAAGTCTGCTGGTTGTGTAACTTAGTTCTGAATCCATGCATGTAGAATTTTAGTCTTTGGGGAAATGCTACCTAGTCTTAGCCATGCTGGTTTTCTGAATGAATGAATGCAGAGTGAAAACAGGAAGTTAATGGTACATAAGTAGAGGCTGTTAGCATGGAATAACCGAAGCCACTGTGTAATAATTCAGTAATAAAATAGAAGATATTCACTCAGAAAACAAAGCACCTTTAGACCATGGGTCAAAGAGTGATTGCATGCCGTTTCTTCTCAGGTAAGTTTAGAGATAGAGTCAGAGTCAGCAAACCGTTGGAAAGGAAGGTGTATCTGCATTAGTGATTATTATTCTGGAAATGCTGATGCTGCAAATTGTTAATTCATGATAATGTGTTCTGAATCGTATTTTTTCATTTTGCAAGCTGCCCAGACAACAACATGCTATTGGGCAGCTGTCTATAAATACATTGCATAAATAAATAAAAAGTAATCAATCAATCTTACCCTCAAAGAAGATCCAGTTAATTATTAGAAGCAATCTAGTGTTCAGATGCTGCATGGAAAGAGGCTCTTTGCTCCTCCACACAAACAAACAGTTTAATTTTGATCTTGAGGAAAATGTCCGCTTGTAGTTCAGGTCTTTAAAATTCTGTGGTTCTTACAGGATGAGAACATGCTTTTTATTTCCTAGTTTTATTGCAGGTCTAATAACTGAAATCGAATAAGCATTTCCAAGTAGACAAGCTGAAGCCTTTAGTGGAAAAAAAAACGCAAAACTATTTACAATCAAAAGAGAAATGACTCAGAAATGGGTTAGGAGTTTGCAGCTTTGGTTTTGAACGTACTAACGGCCATCTCTGTTCTCTGAGCACCGATCCTTAGGTGTTCAGAATGGAACCACACATGCATAAAAAGCCATGGGGGGGGGGGGAATCCCCATTGTTTTCCGAAGTGGGGAAACAAACTTTTTAAGACCTGAAAATGCTCACTGGAAACAGAATGCCAAGTGAGTGTTAGCGGGGACAGAAAACCAGAAGAGCGGGAAGAAATGGAACAAAATGTTTGCAGTCTGAATAGAAGCACAAGTAGAAATGGCAGCAACTTGTTTGCAGTTCCCCTGGTTAATTCAGCCTTTCTAGGGGTTGCTTTTTGCAAGGAGCTTCCTAGCATACGCAGCAGGACCCCGATAGAGGATTCTGGGGTATGTGCTTGGGTGGCAACCTAATTTCTGCAGGTCCATCTGGGCACTTCTAAGGTAGCTGATGCAGATTATCTTAGAAGCGAAGCGTGCAAAACTCCACTCGTTTTTTGATATTTTTTCCTCATTCTTCATGGCTCCTCATGCCCTATCCATGCCACAAAACTTCAAGGGTTCTTTGGCTGCTGAAAAAGAGAGTTTTTAAAATTGGTTTCTCTTTTTTTCCTGTTGTTGCAAATTCTCCCTTTCAGTTGCTAAGTAAATCTTTTGCAGCTGATGAAAAGACTGTAGCTGATGACTTTATTTCCTCCAGCCTATTAACCTTATGGGGCAAACTCAGGTTGATCATCCTGTCAAGTCTGCGAACCGTACAGAGAGCGGCAGGCAGAAAGCAAGGGATGGACTCCTGTGACTCAACAACCCATCATGGGGACCCTGCCACGGTGATTAGTTCTGCGATTCAGAGTCGGGCCACCTCCCGCAGCGTGGCTTACGCCACACAGTGGGGAGGGCAGAGCTCCCGACAAGTCACCATCTGTTCCATGAGTTGTTCAACCCAGGATAGGCTGTTGGGTCCCCCTGGTTAAGTCAGTTTCATTGCGGGTTGTAAGGATCGGTTGGCAAGCTGTTGAGGAAGAGTAGCAATCCCCCCTATTCATTGCCAGGGATAGTAGCCAGCAGGTGAGCAAATTTCCCAGGTGAGACCGCACACAGAACCACTGTGAGCCGTCCGGAGACTTCTGTGGCGGGACGGTGGACAATGCAAATGTTTTAAACAAATAAATGCCTGGCTGTCAATTGACAAGCGCCAGTAAAGTGGGGAGAAGTGGCAAAGGAAAGTGCAAGGAAAGGGTGCCGGGGCTGGATCCCCCACTTAGCAATGGGATCCCCGGGTCGCCAGGTGTTCAAGTAAGACTCCTCAGTGCCTTCCACTGAGGCACTGCTCCCCAAATTTCCAGCGCCTCCAGAAGGAGGAGTTGTATAACCTGGGTGCTACTGCAGAGAAGACCCTTGTTCATCAGCGTTCCCCCCCCCCCAACTGCACAACAAGTGCATTTGATAACCATTATTTTTTTATGGGGAATGAAATCCCATCCCTTAAAGAATTAAAGCTCTGATGTCAAAAAGCGTGTCAGCCAAGGGTTTGTTTTTGGCTTCTTACGGTGTTTTCCGTTCGCAGCTGGATAAAGGAAGCCTGCGGTCAGTTGGTGGAGAGAGGATACGAGACCTCCAGTAAAGTTTGGAGCGGAAGCCAGATGGTGGCATTCTTACACAACATGGGAATAACAAGTGCGACATTTCCCGTGTTACAGGTAGGAAATCTTAAGGATCCTTTAAAAATCCACGCGGAGGTCCCCACTCTGGAACTGTAGTGTGGAACATGAAACAGTCATGCTTCTTGGAATGCGTGTATGTACATGCTCCCGCACACGGTGGTAACGCATTGCTCCCTGTCCAAATTTTACTCCATGGCTACTAATCCAGCCCCATAGAATGCAGTCCTTTGCATTCGAAAGCATTACCATGAATACTTTAGTGTGTTCAGTCAGGGGCAATAACCTTTACAGAGAAACAATCTCAGATTTTATCGGAAGGAGACCTTCTGTCGACTGAACCCCAGACCCCTATTTAGAATGAACATGATTTAGGGCAGATGTGGGGGATACGTGCCTTCCAGAGGTCATTGCAGTTTAACCATGGTCAGTGGTCTGGGATTATGGGAATTGCAGTCCAACAAGATGCCGCGGAGCCCAATCCAGGCAAGAGTCTCACGTGCAGGTAGTCCCTTTTCTGCGCTGGCTGTTTTTGCAGCTATTACATGGGCAACTAAAGATTTCTTAGTTCCGTGACAAACCATAGTTAGTCATTTTGTTGAATCAAGGAAAATACAATTTATACTTTATGCTGTACTATGGCAGTCTTACGGAATGTACTTACTTGTTACTCCATTCCCCTGAGTACTGTTAAAAGGTTTATCATCCCAAAATCTTACTGCATTTCCGTATCTTTGCTGAGCATCAGTTGGACAACTCATTCAATTCTGGGTTCCTTCCAGCATCAGTTCATACCGATTCCGTTGCAAAATATTTACGGGGACTACCAAAGCGCCCCCCCCCCACCCCCCCCCCCACAATTGTGCAGGATATTTTAACATGCTTAATTCACATGCTTTTGGTCTTTCATAGAATCATTTTGCCGCTGTTCTTGAAAAAGAAGAGAAAATGACCATGTTCCATGGGGGAGAAGAACTAATTTCCTTTCCCATTATAAGCCCCTCGACTCAGATCATCCTAAAGGGACTATTCATGGTCCTGGGGTACCTTTTTAAAGAGAACCACAGGTCAGTGAAGCTGCACCGGTGAGACTTCTTCCGGGCTCACTTGTGCGCGTATGTGGCAGGGCTGTCACAGGCTCTCGATTTGCAATCCTTTTCGTTTTGCTTCAGGTTTGCCGATGACTACCGAGTCGCCTTGCAGCAAACCTTTATCTGGACAAATGAAACCCCACTTCATTTTCCGGATAGGAATGGCTTCTTTGGACGGCCGAAAGGACGATCCCAGCATAAAATAGCAGTGCATACTCTCAACTTCTGGTGCTTGAATCCAGCTGTGGTAAGCCAATTATGGATAAAATTATAATATCTCATTGTATTAGAGGCAAACATCGTAAAAGGACACATGGAAGCAATTTGGCAGTTTGTCTGGATGTCGCAGGACGGCCAGGGCTTAGCTGCTCCATTTTGTTCCCTCTTGCTCCGCAGTCAGTTGTCATTTTGTGGCTACTTTGCTATTTTACTTTTGGACTGTTCCCCAACTATTTTTTGTGCATTTAAAATCATTAAAGAAAATAAGCGAGAGTTCGGGTTTTCCCAAGTCTACCCAACTCAGAGTGGGTAACATCAGTACTGCAGAATTAAAATGACTATTGCTGCATGCGACAGTCACAAATAGACAAACAGTTTTGTCAGTGTTCGCAATACTTTTTCCCTCTAGGCATTCTCCGACTTGAGTGACAGTGTCAGAACGATCATTTTAACATCTGGAACACTTTCTCCGATGGACTCCTTTTCTTCTGAGCTCGGTGTGAAGTTTTCCATTCAGCTTGAAGCAAGCCATGTTATTAGAGACTCCCAGGTACTCATTGCATTCAGGACTGGATATACCCTGTGTGATTCATTCCACTTTTATCCCAATCAATAGCTGAAGCTCTCTGGGCAGTTCACAACAATTTAAAAAGGTCAAATGCAGCATGAAATACAGTATGGAGCAATTTAAATATGCAGAACTGCAGTATAAACTAGAAATTAAAACCTAGAATGAGGCTTAGCAGCAGTTTAGACCTTTACATGTCAGATTTAAAAGAGACAAACTAAAGTTCCTGGGAAAAAAGGAAATTCTGCAACTGATGCTAAAAAGAGTGCAACGTAGCGACTAGGCAAATCTCTCAGGGAATTTGCTTCCAGACCTGGGGTGCCACCACAGAGAAGGCCCTGTTATTTGTAGCCAGCACCTTCAGAAGGGAAGGGCTCCCACACATGGTCCCCTGCAGATGATCCTGATCCCTAACCCCACACTTTTAGGGCTTTGACTGTTAGTACCAGCACTTTCCGTTGGGCCTGGATTTGGACTGGCAGCCAGTGCAGATGGTAAAATGCAGTTTTAGTACGATCACACCGGCCAGCCCCATTTAGGTATCTTGCTGCCCTATTTTGGGCCAGCGGAAGTTTCCAGACCATTTTCAAAGGCATCCCTGTGTACAGTGCCAAATGCCACCTGAACGCAGCATTATTCCCTTTCCTCAAACCTTTTTTTTTTAGTCCCGTGCAAAAAGGGAACATCCTTGTTAAAAATCACGAGAATTGCAAATCCCCGTGCATTTACGGAATCCACAAGTTGATAATCTCCTGTGAATCACTGAGTGAGCCAGTGGTTTGACCCGGTAGTGAACACAACGCATTGTGAATGGCCGCTCTGCCCCCTTCCCTGGACCGGTGCACCAGCGAGCCAGGAGCCCACTCGCCCACAAGGAATGGTAAAGCGATTCCATTCCTGCAGTGGATGGTGCAGTTGCCGTGCGTCACAGGTGCCTTGATTTATCATACCTTATCTTGGAAGCTAAGCAGGGTCAGGCCTGGTTGGAATCTGGACGGGGGACTTCAATGTTGTGAACCACCCAGAGAGCTTTGGCTATGGGTGGTATAGAAATATAATTAATAATAATAATAATAATTTATTTCGCTGCCAGCTTTTAAAATACTCTCCCTGTTCTTGGCCATATTCACTTGCGCTTCATCTCTTTAAGTCCTTGCCCACAAAGTCCCTTGCTCTCTCTCTGCGGCTGTTTCCGTACGGCGTAATTTTATTGCCCATGCGCACGTCACCACGAGAACGTTTCTTCGACAGGTGTGGGTCGGCACGGTTGGAGCTGGACCCAAAGGCAGGCCGCTGTGCGCCACATTCCAGCACGCGGAAACGTTTGACTTCCAGGATGAATTGGGGGAGCTGCTGCTTTCCGTTTGTCAGATGATCGGCCGGGGGATTTTGTGCTTTCTGCCGTCCTACAAGGTAAACGTTTATCCACAGAGAATAGCTCTTTCTACAAGCTGTTTAGATTTTAGATTGGTTCTAAAATCTAGAACCTTCTGCACATTGCATTTCCTTTGGTTTGCTTGTCATATTTGTCAGAATAAAATTTCAGGGGCATGAAAACAGCCCCATGCTGATCATCAGCAAGAGCCTCCTTGACTCTAAACCCAATAGCCCCAACGCAGGTGATGGGATTGGTCTAGAGTCCGGTTGGCTGTTACTGTTCCCATGCCCCCACATTCTGTTCTTTGGGTGTGGGGAGAAGGGGGTTCCAACAGCATTAAAACCACTCAGCCCTAAATGCTTAAAAATCGCGTAGTTTGCAACGCTAAAGAAAATGAGTTGGGGGTTACCGTTCAAACAGACAGGTGCTTGACACTGGCAGAGCTTGAATCTGAGAAGCAAATTACATAAAGCCAAGGGTAAGAATCAGGCCTATGGTCAAAGCTACCTTACACTGCACTGCACCATCGGGCCATCTAGTCCAGTGTTACCTGCTCTGCCTGGCAGCTCCTCCAAGTCCTCAGGAGGCGCAGGGCCTTCCAAGGATTCCTTCCCAAAGCCTTTTCTAGACGCCCCAGGTGGGAGCGGAGACTGGCTGCAGCTAAACACGCGCCCCCCCCCCCCACTGAGCGAGCTCACCCTCCTTTCCATAGCTCATCCTCTGTGGCTTGGTTAAAAAGGGCCAACTCGGGTTTCTGCGAGTTTGGAAGTGAACCGAGTTGGAGAATCGTCTTGAGCTGTGTAGTTTGGAGAAGCCTAGACGTGCCGTGCAGCTTTCGCCAGCACGTGTATCAGAACACAGCAGGTAGGTCTGCGGCTGTTTGCTAGAATCATGATTTGGTAGCCAGTCCTTCGTAGCAGGGATGTGCCGGGTGTCCGCACAGCTTTATCGTTTGAAGGTGGACTCTTTTGGAGCATGAATGGCCACAGGGATCCTGGCTGGCTTCATCTCTGGGGCACCTATTTGTGCAGCTGGGGAGTGTGACGCGTCTGTTCCTTCTGGTCACGTCCGTCTACCCCACCCGTGGGGGCGGTGAGGTTACAGCAGGCTGACCCGGCCAAAGTCGGGGGTGGGGGGGTTGTGGAAGCTGGTAGCTGCAGTTCAGAGGATCGCCTCGTGTCACACAACTCTATTTCTGGCCCATGGCAAGGATTCTGCCACTTGTGTTGCTAAATATTTTGGGGGAGCCAGTAGGTTATCTACCTTTCTTTACTTTATGATAAACCCTTTTCAAACCTTGTAAGTTTAGGTGGTGTGTTCTTCTCTGTCCTTTCCCAGTTAACCCGGATTATCCCTAGACCAGAGAAGACGGTCAAGAGCTACCAGCCAAATTTGGGACTTGCTAGTTTAAACTAATATTATATCAAGACCTAAGCACTGTATGCAGTGATAGCGCTGTGGAAATAATTAATTTGCTGGTCATTTTGTTTGGCTTCTGATCTGTGGCTATCGGTGTTAGCTGCAGCCTTTTTCTGCGCCTCCCCAAAAGCATAAAAGCCATTTGCTTTCTTGGATGGAAGGATTTAAATGGACATAAATCCAGAAGCACGTTGTTTGCTTTACTGGCATGTTTCTCTCCCGCTGTGACGCTTCCACAGTGTCATTCCACATTTTCATTTTGAATGGCTCTTGTGTTGCTTTCTCTGATCATTTGAAGCCACGCATTGCTGTGGTTCCACAGTTCAGAAATCTGGCATTGCTGTTCTGAGGGTTGTAAATCCCTTTCGGTTCCCTTTTGGCGTCTTCATCAAATCTGTGTTCACAGCAAAACACGCACGGATCAGTCTGCTCTGAGCAGCCAGAGCACAGCCCTCTGACCGAATTTCAGTTCATCACATCAGGTTATGTTAGCGACAGAAATGAAAGAAGCAGGCTGCAAGGGCACAGAAATTTTTCTGCTCCGAGTAGCGTCGTGTCTCCATCCAGCTTCTGGGTCTGGTGCGGTGGAAGCTTCCCATTAATTGCAGGCATTTGGTGGGGTCAGAGAAGCAGTAAAACATCCTTGCGGAAGTGCCGGGAATTGGGAGAAGAAAGCCCTACTTGGCTTCCGATGTTATCCTGTGCGATCCTTCCCTGTGTGGAGAGGCTGCTCATCCTTGGTTACCTGCCCTCCTGGGAGAGCGGTGGAGTCAAGGAGGCCTTGCAGTTCCCGAAAGTGCCCATTAGGTGACTGCATTGGGCCGTGGAACTGAAAACTGCTCGTCGAAGAGGAGCTACGTTGAAGTAGCCGCTTTTCCTGTGAAACTTGCCAGCTCTTGTACCACAAGGATGAAGCGCCTCTGTGCTTAATCTGGGTTTAGGTGATACCTCTGAATGCAGACCTGGGATCTCTCTCCTTTCCTTTGCATTCGTGCCCGTCACGTTCGACGCACAAGCCCGCCTTGGAACAATCAGCAACGATAGTTAAATAGCGATGCTTGATAGCCGTGTCATTTCTGCATTGAGACCAGTTGCTTTAAATCTGTAGGACTGAGTCTTAAACGCCTTCCTGTTGCTGTGAAAGCGGCGCTGTTGCATTATTCCCAGGGCCTGCAGTGGCCGGCATGGCACTCTAAATGCGGAGCCCCTGCCCTGTCCCCCTCGTGGCCACACGGCGACAGAATGAGCCGCACTGGCTTCTCTCTGAGGTCAGCAGCCCGCTCTGGAGAGGGCCCAAGGGGCACCCTGAGGCCAGTGACTTGCGCCATACTCAGATGCCCTGGTCTTCAGCACTTTCCCTCGATGGACAACGCCAGTGCCTTGTGGTATCCCTCAGTCCCTCTTTCAGGCACCGTTACTCCAGGTTCCCTTAACCCGGGGTGGAAAGCCCTTTTGATTGGGGGGCTCATTTCCTTGGTGATAAGGCATCAGTACATGTATCACATATATGCTGGCGATTGAGGGAGCCAGAACCAAAAGCGAGCACTTGTTCCCGTATCTCTTCCCAAGCTGTGCCTCCATCTTCTCTCCTGCCCTGCGCAGCTGGCATCTTGTGGAGGTCAGACTGCTCTTCCGGGCACCTGGACTGATCGCTTGCAGGCGACCGCAGGAGAACAGCCCTGCCTTCAGCCATCACGAGCATTTCATCCTTTAGGAGGTTCATCCTGTACGTAGTTCTCAGATCCTAATATTCCTCCTTCCCATTTTTAGTTTTAGTATTAAATGTATGGAAGCTTATAGAACGCTTTCCCAATAAGGCAGTGCTCCTTATACAATTCCCATCATTTCCTGAAGGCATGGCCATTGCTTCATGCTGGTGGGCACTCTCGTCTAACAAGCAGCCTAGAACCGGAGGTGTATTTATCCTCCGTCCTTACTTCTTCACATCCAGGTGTTTATGCAGCGGTGGGTCTTAATTTTTACTCTTCTTTCTTATAATTATATCCCACCCTTTTTCCTTCCAAGGATCTTAAGGCAGCTCACCTCATTCTCCTCCTGCTCTCAGTCTTATCCCCACAACAGCCCTGTGAGGCGGGTTGGGCTGAGAGTCTGTGTCCAGCCCCGAGTCGCCCAGTTGGCTCCATGGCTGAGTGGGCACTAGTGGCGTGACCCTCTGACCTCCCGCGACTTGCGTGCACTTCCGCATTTCTCTGTAACACTTCATCAGTCACAGGTGAACGGCCCTTTTTCCTTTGTCCCGCTCCACCTTTGGGGGACCTTAAGAGCTGCTAATTTCCAGACAGACACTTGTCCTTGTGTCATGGTGCAAATGCATTTTTCCTGCATGTCTTGCTTCTATGTGGAAGGCTTGGACAAAGTCTTCATCCCCGCCCCCGCCCCCGCCATTTCCCCAAGTCCTTCCAGGCCAGCTCCTCCGCTTGCTTTCGAGGTCAATTTGAGCAGGTACAGGACAAAGTGGGGAAGAGGAACAGTTGAAGGGGGCCATCATCGACATGAGAGAGCCCCTGTGGGCACGCGAGTAATTGCCTGGCCCCACCCTCCGCGAGCGAAGGAGCACTCAAGCACTCCTTCCGCTTGCTCCGGCACGGGCCCACGGGTGCATCAGCAGCTCCTTGTGGACCCTGGCATCACCGGCTGCGGAGAGGTCTAAAGCAACGCGCCTGCACATGGGGGATTTGCTCCCAAACCCCGACAGCGAGTGCCCCAAACTCTCTCACTCAAAGCCCAAAGACGAGAAGAAAGAGAATAACTGGATTTCCGAGCAGAGCAGCAGAGGGTCTGTGGTTCCATGTGCTCATCTGCTTTCTCTTAAAAGGGCATGTGTTATATAGCTCGCTCGCTCGCTCGCTCGCTCGCTCTCTCTCTCTCTCTCGCTCGCTCGCTCGCTCGCTCTCTCACACACACACACACACACACACAGAGGGAGACTTTGATAATCTGAGATAATGCGATAACAGATCGATGCAAGATCTTGTGATTATGTTGACGCCCCTTGCAGGGAACCCAGAATGGCTCACCAAGCGGGTGCTCTGGCCTCAGGGCCCTGCTCGGGCACGGAAGGGACTAGTGTTGCAGAGCGTGGGCTCCCGCACTTGGCTGGCAGCGAGCCGTCTCCTGTCCAAGCACCGTAGGAGCCCTGAGTCCTCTGCCTGTCCCAGTGTCTCCCTCCAGGTCAAGCTCTCGTGTCTGGTTTTGGTGGGGTAGAGAACATGCGCCCCCAGAACAGGGCTGCCCTGCCCTGCCATGGTTTGACATGCTGCTTTCCCTTATAGTATTATGGACACAAGATCTATATCTGTATTTGTGGAAGCATATTCTGGTGTGTTTAAACTTGTGCTTCCTTTGGAGCGCATGAGTCAAAGGCTGTGTGGCGGAGCCCCTGGAGATGCCCTGGCCGCTGCTCCCCAAGAGATGTGTGGGCTTACGTGGCGGATTTCTGGAGGAAGAAAAAGACACCAAGCACAAGGTGTTTTCCCTGGGTGGGGTGTGGACTGGCCGAGAACAGAGGCTCAGCAAGGGCCAACGGTGGCTAAGAACGTATGTTCGGAAGTCTCCCCGTTTTCCCTACAGTCGGGTTCAGACAGATGCGGAGCTC